AAAATCTCAGCGTGCAACTAGTTACAAAAGTAAAGTATTAGAAAAAAATTTGTTGCTCGTTTAAATTTGGTACTGGCGTATTGTCTGAATTTGTTGCTCTCGAAATATCCAAGTTCCGAATTTGTTGCTTGCAAAATAAGTATAAACAATAGCGGAAAACCTCAGCGTGCAACTAGTTACAAAGTAAAGTATTAGAAAAAAATTTGTTGCTCGTTTAAATTTGGTAGTGGCGTATTGGTTGCTCTAGATATATCCAAGTTCTGAATTTATTGCTTGCAAAATAAATGTAAATAACAGCGGAGTTGTCAGCATGCAGTTACAAAAAATCAGTTTTGTACCCTTATTGTTAGAGTAAAACGTATAAAGGAAATTATGTATGTGTCTGTGGTGTATGTGGAATAAAAAGTTATTAGAATTTATGTTTCATATTTATTCAATACATATATTAGTAACTGAGGATCTGTTTTATAAGTATCAGGTTTTCTTTGTTCTTTTTTTGTTAAGTCATCATACAGCATCCATGTCTTATTTGGACGAAGACATAATGTTGTGAAATGTCCTAGTTGTTGACTTGATCTTCGAGTATGATGTGGTCCTTTATAATCTATCACAGCTAAAAATGTATATTTTTCTTTGCTATTTTCGATTAATATTTCAAATTGTGTTGGTAATTCTTTTAACATAAAATATTTTTCTTTCCCATCTTCATTGTAAATTTCTATGAAAATCAGTGGACCTGAGAAAATATAAAAGTTTAATATTTAATATTTTAAATTAAGTTTAGTGTTCGTTTTTATATTCGTTAAATATACAAAATTAATCAAATTTTTAATATGGCATTTACCAGCTGCTATAACTTTAGACGTAGTGCTTGAAGAACATATCTGACAAATTTTTGGCCTTAATGTTATATAATCCTTAATTATATTATCAAATGAATCTTGCATGAAATGTGAGGTTTCCAAAAGTAAAATATTCATAGTTTTTCGTTGTTTTAGACAACCGTTTGAGCAGAATATTTCGTGTTCAATACTTGGACAGTTAATTAATATTTTACTTGTTACATATGCAACGCTACAGTAACAATTAACAAGATTTATGGTTCCTTGAACACTTGTATCAAATACATTATGTAATATGTCAGCACGTAGACGATATGTTTTCGATGTAATACCTGTATATAAAAGAAATTACTTTAAAAAAAAATTTTTTTTAAATTTAACCACCCATCATCAAAAAATCTTATTGCAAAATTACTAACAGAATGCCATTTATGATTAACTTATTATTTTATTTCCAATTTTGTTGCTTCTATCATTTAGTGAAAAATTGCAGTCAAAGTACTTAATTTTGCAGTAGGTACGGATTTTTTGTTAAGAATGGGATATCTTTAATGTAAGTACATATTTTAATTATCAATAATAAAAAAATTGAATATATTTAAATCAAACCTGTTTTTAAGATTCCGGGAAAAAATGGAAGAGATCTGAACAGATTTGAGCAGATCTCATCAGATCCAATCCACTCAGATCTGGTTTGATCAAAATATTGGCCCTATCTGATCAGATCCAATCAGACATGAGTAGATCTGATCCGATCCTAGAGGATAGAGTCAGATATGTAACGAGAATAATAATTTATTATATCTGCTCAGATCCAATCAGACATGAGTAGATCTGATCCGATCCGGTGTCCATCCACTGCAGAAAATTGTTGTTTTTAAATGTTATTTTTTAAATGTGTCACTTTATTATAAGTAGACTCCACGATACAAAAGTTGTGCCGTTCCACGATTTACATAACTTGGCGCAACTTAGCACGACACTGGCGTGTCTGATGCCGTTCTTATACCACTGTTCATTAAATTTTAAACACGAGAATCAGATTCCGTCGGATGCCATCTATCGGATACTTTGAGATGCAACATTATGATCTGATCATATATAATCTTATATGACTATATAAGTTTATATGTGATTATATTATTTTATCAGTTTAAATTATAAGGTATGTTTGCAAAATAATTTAAAAGATTTATGTTTTATATATACATATACACATTAATCTTTTATATTTACCTATTATTAATTAATTTTGCACGAAATTTTTTTAATGGAATATTTATAATAAATTCTAAATATGGTGTCGAAATTAACAGTTATATTATTAAATTGGCAGGACTATATTTATTATATATATGTTAATGTTTCAAAATTGAGAAAACTGTTTTTAATATAAAAATTAATTGATTTTTGACCAAAAATCATTTAAAAGCTTCCCCTTTACAAAGTTAATATTATATTTGATATAATGTCCAACATTGGGTGTAAAAATTAATAATGGACGATTTGAGAACAAAATTTTTATAAGTTCTATACTGGCGAGATCTGCTCAGATCCGGCAAGATCGGAAGAGATCTGATTGGATCAGCAACACAACTTTGTAAGCCAAGATTGGACTTATCTGGTGAGATCAAGATATGTCTGACTAGGTCTGCTCAGATCCGGCAAGATCGGAAGAGATCTGATTGAATCAGCAACACAACTTTGTAAGCCAAGATTGGTCTTATCTGGTGAGATCAAGATATGTCTGACTAGGTCTGCTTAGATCCAGCAAGATCGGAAGAGATCTGATTGGATCAGCAACACAACTTTGTAAGCCAAGATTGGTCTTATCTGGTGAGATCAAGACATGTCTGGCTAGGTCTGCTCAGATCCAACAAGATCTGAAGCATAATGTCTGCTCGTACTTCAGGAGATCTGAAGCAATCAGATAATGTCCGATTAGATCAGAAGAGATTCGATTGGATCTGCGATTCAATATTGAACGGCAGCAATGGTCAGATCTGGTGAGATCGGATTATAGTTCAGCATATCTGGCTGCATGTGATTAAATATGGCCATGCAGATCTAGCGAGATAAAATTATATCCAATCAGATCTGACTTTACTTGAATTTCAGATCTCGTTGTATCTCATTTTATCAAATCAGACATGGTCAGATCTCCTCCATTTTTTCCTGGGATATTAACTATCATGTTAAATAATGGAGTAGATGATGCTTTTTGTTTAATAAATGCTTGAATATCTGGAATATCATAACATGCAATCAATAGACTTTGAAATAAGCTATCGAATGCACACGTGTTGGTAACTATTATTGATTTGCTTCCCAGTTTTATCTTCTGTAAAGTGAGGCAGTTACCATTTTTTAAAAGGGGTATTTTTTTCCTTGGTTTTAATTTTAAAACGTCCGAAATTTCATCCATCCGTTGACCTAAATATTTGGCTACTTTTCGTGTCTTGGACTGTCCAATGACTTTTCCTCTCCAATTTTCTATCTCTCGTAAAGCAGTAATTTCTGGATCTGTTAAACTGTCTTCTGAGTCAGAAACGTAATCTTTTTTAATCTTTTTTTTTCTTTGTTGATTTTTTCCTATTTTTGTCTCATCGACATTTTCCTTGTCTGACATAGATAAATTAATACATTCATCGGAATCAAATTCACACGGTTTTTTCCATTGATTGGTTTTTAAATAGTGATCATTTATTGGTAAATCAATATTAGTCGGATTGAGAGTTGTTTTATTTTCTATAGTTTTATTTTCTATATTTAGTATAGAATTTTCATTTAAAGTTTTATTTAAAATCTGAGGCATATCTGATTTACAATCAATTGAATTCCATGACTGCTTTGAAAACAATATAGTTGCATTTTCTTCAGGTTTAATAAGATCTGATTTTTTCTCAATATTTCGTAGTAAACTCATATCTTCTTGAATTGAATTTAAATTATCTTGAATTTCATAATTAGATTCAACATTAAGACAATGACGAGAATAAGTAAATGACTGACTATTAGTTGATACATCCATTTTTTTTTAGGTATATTAGTATCTGCTATAATGACGCGTCCAATCAAGTATTTGATATGTTCTTCTACAAATCTGTCTATTCTTAAAGAATTATTAATGACTAAATTTTTTAACTTGTTAAATTCACTTTCAACTGAAGCACTTGATGCTGGTATACGTCCATAACCTGTCTGCGTATATATTACTTCATAAAGCAATTGTACCAATATCACGTAACAATTTAGTAGCAATATGAGGTGCATAATGTGCATTAGCTCGAGTGCCTTCTTGAAAAATACTATTTTGAATCTCACAATTTATTTCTTCTCCCCATTTTGATCACCAATTTGAAGATATTTCGGCTTGTTCGTCTTCGTTACATTCAAATATTGGAATAAATTTTTCACTGGTAAATTCTTCCTCGTCAACTATCATCTCTTTTCCACTGATGAGGTGTTCTAGAAATTGTTTCTGAGTCTCACAGTCAGATTTCATGCATGTTCCTTGTAAATTACCTTCTAATTCACATTGTGAAATAACTAAAAGTGCTTTTAAAATTTTTCTCGCATCTTCCACTTGACGACACAAAATAAGCTGTCCAATAACTGCAAGATAAAAAGTACGAACTGGTCTTGAAGTAGATTTTAGAGCATTAGAATATGTTTTCATAAAATGAGCGACGTCAATACGTATATAACAATCTGGGACTGTATTTCGACAAGCATCCGCATAGCGCTCGATAGTTGGATGACTTGTAAATTCTTTTACAACAGCAGTTAATAAAGCTCGTGAAGCGTCTGTCACGACTTCTTTGGGATGTGGAGCACCTATTCTACACCATTCCATTAACCAAAATCTAATAAATGTCGAAGTATGTATTTCAGTCAAAAATTGTGAAATTGAAAATTGACCAGCAACAGAATTAATAACTGCATGATACAGAAAAATATAATGGGATAACGTTCCATTTGGTCTATTCAATCTTGGAACTCTAACACCACTTGCGTCAATATATAGTGTAATATGTTCTAGTTTTAACTAATGATTCTGATAAGGATAAGGATAAGGATATAATATCAATACCATCTCCATCTCCATCATGTTCTTCCAGTTCTTCAAAATCTCTAAGCGTAAAAAAAACTAAAAAATGAATCAATTGGAACAAAAACAGTAAAACTTTTTCAACCACGAATTGACAAAGCCCTACTAAATGTGAAAGCATTTGAAGGTAAAAAAATAAATTATTTTATATTATTTTTCTATTATTAGATAACATATAAACATATAATACTTTTCATTTCTTATAGTTTAGAATCTTTTTGCATGAAACTTTTGTAATTTGTAATATTTGTATTACAGAGGAAGGTGTAAGAAGTGGTAAAATAACGAACGGAATTATATACATGATCTCAAAAGACATTTTACCTTTCAATACAGTGGAGAAAGAAGGTTTCCTTTATTTAATGAACATAACTGCGCCTTTGTATAAAGTTCCATCAAGAAAAACAATAACAAAGTTAATAGAAGAAAAATATGATATTCTTTCAAATATAATAAAGACTAAGTTATCTAGTATTGATAACTTATGTCTCACAACAGATGTATGGACGGATGTTATCAATACTAAGAGCTATTTGGGAGTGACAGCACATTTTATTTTAAATGATAAACTGACCTCTGTAGTTATTGGTGTTAACGAACTGGATGAGCGGCATACTTCAGATTACCTTGGACAATGGTTGTTAAGGATATGTACTGAATGGCATATTGGAAAAGATAATGTTGTTGCCATCGTAACAGACAATGCAGCGAATATTGTGAAAGCTGTCAGTGATACATTTGGGAAAGATAAACATTTAGGTTGTTTTGCTCACACACTAAACTTAGTCGCAACATCATTATTAAAACACAATAATGAAGTTAATGCTTTATGTGCAAAAGTAAAAGCACTAATCACGTTTCTCAAGCATTCTGTTATTGCTGCGGACGAATTACGGAAATATAACACGAAGAAATTAATTCAATCTGTTCCCACACGATGGAATTCTACATATTACATGTTGGAACGATTTATCGAATTATCAGAAAACATCACTATAATATTATTGAAATTTCCCAAAGCACCTCCAATGCTATCAGCCTTAGAATTACAGCTTGCCAAAGAAGTTATTCAAGTTTTGGCTCCTATCGAAGCTGTTACAAAGGAAATATGTGGCGAACAGTATGTTACGAGTAGCAAAATAATCCCACTAATCAACTGCTTAAAAAGAAAAGTGAATACTTTAAAAGATGAATTGACATCAAGTACAGCCATACAGTTGCTTGAATCTCTTTCTGTCAACATTAACATGCGATTTGGAGATATAGAAAATAACACTATGTTAGCTGTATCAACTCTTCTAGATCCTCGATTCAAACGATTGCATTTTAATAATCAAGATGCCTGCTTACAAACTATAAATAAGATAGTCCGGCAAATGGAAAATGTAAATAACGATATGTTCAAAGAAAATAATACAACAGAAAATGCAGTAATGGACAATCAAAAGAACTCTTTGTGGTCATATCATAATGAACTTGCTTATATGGAGCAATTAAACTGCAATGATACTGAGGATATGCCGACTGACTTCAAACATTACCTAAACCAACCAATTATTGGGTTACATGAAGATCCAATTCACTATTGGCTTTATAGTTGTAAGACAATGTATCTATCTCTTCATGTCATTGCAAAAAAATACTTATTAATTGTAGCTACGTCCGTTCCATCTGAACGTTTGATCTCGAAAACTGGAAATATTGTTACGGAAAAACGAAACAAATTATCGTCTGAACATTTACAGTGTATGCTATTCTTAAACTCCTTATCTATGCATGAGTGGAAAATTGAATAAAAATGTTTTAAATAAAAATTCTTATTTTTTCCTTTTTTTAATGTCTTTACAGTTACACAATTATTACCGAAACTCTTGACAGTTGACACCCTGAAGGCCTGAATTGTTATGATGCAAACTTCTGAATTCTGATTTTTATTTTTAAATCATATATCACTTTTATATAATTTATATCAACTTAGGACTTAGGACGGACACTTAGGCTGATATTTTATATCGTACGAAAAATATTTTAAGCATGTTAATTGACTGCAAGACGTGCAAGATAGAAGTTCTCGAGTTTCTAGAAGTCTTCTATCTTATAGCCAATCAATACGTTTAAAAAATTTGTCATACAACAAATAAAATATTACGCCCTAAAATATGTTAAAAATTTAAATACTTCGCTCATTACATGCAATTTTCGGATCGATTCTTAAGAAATCGATTCTTCTAGTCCGATTTTATTAATGAATCGATTCTTAAGAGATCGATTCTTTTAGTCCGATTTTATTAGTGAATCGATTCTGGTCATTCCGATTCAAGATCGATTCAAAAATCGATTTTGTTAAAAAAATCGCCCATCACTACTTGTAACTTGCTGCACGCTGAGTTTTTCCACTATTGTTTATACTTATTTGCAAGCAACAAATTCGGAACTCGGATATTTCGAGAGCAACAAATTCAGACAATACGCCAGTACCAAATTTAAACGAGTAACAAATTTTTTTCTAATACTTTACTCTTGTAACTAGCTGCACGCTGAGTTTTTCCGCTATTGTTTATATTTATTTGCAAGCAACAAATTCGGAACTCGGATATTTCAAGAGCAACAAATTCAGACAATACGCCAGTACCAAATTTAAACAAGCAACAAATTTTTTTCTAATACTTTACTCTTGTAACATTTCCGCTATTGTTTATACTTATTTTGCAAGCAACAAATTCGGAACTCAGATATTTTGAGAGCAACAAATTCAGACAATACGCCAGTATCAAATTTAAACGAGCAACAAATTTTTTTCTGATACTTTACTTTTATAACTCCGCACGCTGAGGTTTTCCGCTGTTATTTACACTTATTTTGCGAGCAACAAATTAGCAACAAATTAGCAACAAATTCTTACGTTATTGTTATGTGTAATTTCGTTATTATATGTATATTGTCACGCTAACTTAATCTTCTTCTAGCGGAACATTGTTTTTTAAGAAAACTTACAGAGCAACAAATTTTTTTCTTTGGCAACTTTTTAGCAACAAATGAGCAACAAATAAAAATATTAATTAGAATCGATTCTGCTCCCTTTGTTCCGCTAACTTATAAGACGTAGGAATCGCGTCGCAGCTGTCATCCTCCAACCGACGCGCCCATAGAGGACAATCGTCGTCGTCATCATCAGGAGTTTCGTTCCAACTTTCCCGTCAAATTGCCCCCTGTGCGCATACTGACGACGCGTTATCTGCTGACGACGACTAGCTACAAGTACATAGCCATAGGTATCACGATCAAGACACCGTGGTACAGTCTTTATACCACGCCTTCGTACGTGGATATCGCCCTGGGGGACAAACAAGGAAGGGAAATCTCCCTGACGCTCGACATGTGGAAAGGACTGATCGAGCGCAAACGCGACGTATTGTCGTGCATAGAACGCGCTCTTTCCGACGTAACTCACACCCCCTCGCCGATGTCGATCGGAGAAATGACAATGCGATTCGGAGTGATCAACAACGGGCCGATCGTACGTATAGAGCTACCCAACCTGGCTCGCGTGGCGATGGTGCGCACAACCCTGCTCAAGCTGTACAATCTCCAATTTTGCGTGGATCGCATCATCCGTGCGCTGAGCGCGGCGACCGAGGAGGTCGACGCTAAGTTTTTGCGCTATCGGGAGATAGCCGCCGCCGCGATAAAAATGGAAACTTCGATTCAGCCTGAGATACAGAAGAGCGATTTCTTTGATCCTGACAACATCGTCGACTGCGAGATAGCCGCACTATGTTTCGACTCCTTATAACGATGTCGCGTCTATGAAATGCATATATTCGCGCGAGCGAAACAATGTAAACGCGTTTGTATTATTTTTTAAATAAAAAAAAACTATATGCGTATCTCATCTGTGCACTCTCTCTTTCCGTTTCCCCCTTTTTTCCCAAATCCGTATACCCATCTCCGCGGTCGCGGCGATCGCGACGCCGAGTTTGAACGCGCGTTACATATATTATCGCGAATCATGAATTACAGGTCAAACGCGAGGTGAATGAAAAAATTATCGCGAGCAAAGAGACGAGTCGTCTGACCGCGCTTAACCCCCCGCGGTCGCGGCGATCGCGACGCCGAGTTCGAACGCGCGTTACATAAATTATCGCGAATCGTGAATCACAGGTCGAACGCGAGGTGAATGAAAAAATTATCGCGAACGAAGAGACGAGTCGTCTGACCGCGCTTACCCCCCGCGGTCGCGGCGACCGCGACGCCGAATTCGAACGCGCGTTACATAAATTATCGCAAATCACAGGTCGAACGCGAGGTGAATGAAAAATTGTCGCGAACGAAGAGACGAGTCGTCTCGCTCGTTTTATCTCGACGCGTCGCGTCGGGGACGGGCGGGAAAACCGCGAGACAAAAGGAGGAAAACCGCGAGACGAGATCAAATTAGGAAACGACGAGAGCGACCGCGACGCCAAGTTCAAACGCGCGTCGAAAAAAAAAATTGTCACGCGTCGATCGAACGACGAGACGATGAGTCATCTCCATTGATCCCGATGAGTCGGGAAAACCACGTGCTGCCCGTCGCGACGCGGATCGAAACGACCTTCGGATCGAAAGTTAAAAAAACAAAAACAAAACAAAACGACGACGACGGACGCGCGACACCCCCCCGCGAAACAAACCGTCTAGAACGCGTCGTTCTCCCTCTCATCCCCGAAACGTCCAGACGAGCGACCTCGAACGAGTTCAAACGAGTTCGGACGCGCCCGAACGCGCGCGCGCGACCGACGACGATGAAAAAAAAAGAAAAAAATAAAAAAACAAACGAAAAATATCGGCCCGCGATTCTCCAAAACCGCCGTCGGTAACGGCGCGAGCGCCGCTCCGAGCGCCCGTTGGCGGTCCTGCCCCGCGCCGAACCCCCGTTGGCGGCCCTGCCGCACCCAACCTTCCGTCAAATGTTCCCCTCGCGTCGCGCCCCCCCCCTCGCCCCGTTTTCGCTTCCCCCCCCCTAGCCCCCCCCCCCCCCGATGACCCTTTTCACCGTCCCTCGACCCCTGCGCCCACCGCTTACGGCGCTCCCCCCGCGACAGCGAAGCCCCCCCGACGCCGCGTAACCGCAAGCGAGATCCCTGAGTGTAGAAGTATCTGTTGCCTCCCTACTCTTTTGCTCTACGCGAGGTTTCTGTCCTCGCTGAGCTGGCCTTAGGACGCGGGGCATGACCCGTGGCAGTCCGCCGCGACAGTGATGCTAATGCCGACGATGCACTGATTATAAGAATATACACACATCTACATTCACACGCACATACACAGACATACCCCCCACACACACGCACTTACACGCACACGCTTATACAGGCATACCCACACACACATACCCACGCACACGCGCGCGCACTCACACGCGCACGCACACTATCATACAGACATACACAACACACATACCCACGCACAAGCGCGCGCGCACGCACGCACTCCCACGCACACGCTCATACAGACATACCCAAACACACATACCCACGCACATGCACGCGCGCACACACGCACGCACGCACGCACTCACACGCACATGCACGCGCGCACACGCGCACACACGCACGCACACGCTCATACAGACATACTCACACACACATACCCACGCACACGCGCGCGCGCACACACACACACACACACACACACACATACACACACAAATGCAACCCTAAAAAATTATTGCCGTGGATACTAAAATAGAATATCCCCAATATCCTCATTTTTACCATGTTCAACGTCTGATAACTCGAAAAGTAGATGGTTCCGGACTTCGTGCCCATTAACACATTTGATCAGGAGATTATGAAGTACAACATACTGCAGTTTCAATCAATTTGACCGGGATCCATTTTCCCTATGGCTGGGCCCGGGGTCCTTTCCACTAGTAGTACCATATACGCGATGCCCTGAATCGATCCCCGGATAGTGGTTTTCCACCACTCGTAATTTTCGACCTACGATGACGCCGACCCGTGCGCACGTCTTCTCTTACGTCACTTTAGGCGACCCCAGGTCGACTTCTCGAGGAAGATGTCTGGGTCGCGTTCGCGACGTCCGCCATTGACGGCGACCCCCGGGTCTCGCTTTCACGGTCCCTACTAACACGATTTTAGACTCAGTCCCTGTGGACGACGTTCGGGTATCGAGTTTGGGCGACATGTCGCCGTATCTCGCGTCCGGGTGATGGATTTTGGCGGCGACCTGTTCCTCGGGTGTCCCAGGTCCCGCTGGATATGACCCGCTGGGTTTTCCCCGCGGATGACGCTTGGTTGTCTATCTGGCCTCCGTATCGCGTCGCTCTTTGGCCGGTCCTCTATTTTTCGACCTCGCGGTTCGGATCACGTTGCTAATTTTCCGGCGGCACGCACGGCTCTATCACCTGTTGACCTTGACGCGCTATCTCACGACCCGGTGAGCATCTCGCGTCGCTCTTTCGCTGGTCACCTGTTTTGTGACTCCGTGGTTCGGACCGCGTCGCTATTATTCTCGCGGCGCGCACGGTTCTACCACCTCGGTACCCTGTCGCGCTAACTCACGATCCGGTGAGCGTATCGCGTCGCTCCTTCGCTGGTCACCTCTTTTGTGACTTCCCGGTTCGGACCGCGTCGCTATCATTCTCGCGGCGCGCACGGTTCTACTACCTCGGTACCCTGTCGCGCTAACTCGCGATCCGGTGAGCATATTGCGTCGCTCCTTCACTGGTCATCTCTTTTGTGACTCCCCGGTTTGGACCGCGTCGCTATTACTCGCGTAACTCTTCCAGGTTCGGTACTCAGTGACCGCGTTCAAGATTGTGTGTGGCTCGACCGCCGTATTCTTTCGCGCGTTACCGCGATTCATGCGCAAAGTAAATAAAATCATAATTCAAGGTCGGGCCGTGTGCTTTATTGCCGCTAACCAGAGTAAATAAAAATCGGATCGGGAAGGAATCATATATAAATCTTTAATAATAAAGTGAGCCGCTGCTCGGCGACCGCTGTCGCAAACCTTAAATCTAAATGCGCCGGACGGATCAAAATAATTCAAAATAAACGTAATTTCACGTTGCTAATAGGGAAACAAAAGAAAAGTCATGGGGCTTGGGCTCCCTATCGTGATCCGTCCTCGGAACGCTATGGAGGTCTGGCCTTAGGCCGGGGCATCTTCTCGTTCCTCCGAGTAGTCCTCCCCCGAAGAAACGCTCCGGAACTTCTCCTCGTCCGGCTCGTCCTGTGC